ACCCTAATTCAGGACCTAGAGTAACCCAATCCACTCCTAATGAGTCTACCTACATCAATTCTCTCCCTTCTCCATGCCATCTTCCACACAGCTTTCAAAGTGATTTTTCTTAAAGCACAAATCTGACCAGGAGTGGGGAACTCGTGGCCTCAAAGCCACATATGACCCTCTAGGTCCTCAAGTGCAGCCCGTTGACTGAATTCAAACTTCAAAAAACAAATCCTCTTAATAAAAGGATTTGTTATGTACAACATGGGTCTGATCATGTCATTCCTCTACTCCAGGGCACCCTATTACCTCTAGGATCAATTATAAATTCATCTATTTAGTACCAGAAGCCCTTCATAACATAGCTTTCCAGACTTATATTCATGTACTCTATGGACCAGCAATGGAGAAGGAAAAAGAAAACCACTCCAGTATCTTTGCCAAGAAAACCCCAAATGGGGTCATGAAGAGTCAGACACAACAACAAAATGTATCAACAAAAATGGCCTCCTGTTTCCCAAGTCTGCAATCAATCAATAAGCATTTCTTAAGTACCTATGTGTCTGTATACTTAGGTGCCATGCTAGGTGACGGGGATACAAGGACCAAAAATGAAATGCCATTTCCTCTTCACTTGGAATCCTTGGTCTCCTTTAAAACTCAGCACCACCTACAGGAAGCCTTCCAGTGGCTAATCCCCACCCCTCTCCCCAATTACCTTGTATAAATGTATTTGTCTCCTTCAAAAGAAGGTAGGCTTGATGGCAGGGTCATTTTCCATTTTGTCTTTGAATCCCCAGCATCTATCAAAATGTCTGGAATATAGCAGATGTTTAATGAATTTTTATTGATTGGGCTCCCCATCACTAGGGGTCTTTAGTGAAGACTAAATGTCTTAAAGAAGATTCCTCTGTGGCCTGGCCTTGATGACTTCAGGTCTTTTCTGTAATTCATGTGTACAATGGGTTTTTCATGTGTACAATGAGGGCATGAATTAGATCAGTGGTTCTCTAAGTGTCATCCTCAGTCTCCTGGGACAGGAGGGGCTGGGCATGGGGAATCCTCAATGCCAAAACTATTTTCATAATATGATATTTTCCAATTAAAGCATTCCTTCCTTTTCCAACTGCACGTCTTTGTGAGGCTGAAATTTCTTAATATACTTCAACTAGAACAACATATCACAATACCCAGAAGACATTAAAGAGATTTGCAAAAATACGTAAAACAGTACCATTAATGCCAATACTTAGCTATTTTTCATTAAAAATATACTGTTAGCATGTAATGGGTTTATTATTATTAAATTAGTAAATATTTAAAAATATTTGTTAGTTTTAATTCTGAATATGGAAAACATTAACAGATATAACCCACACAAATAAAATATCTTTTGGGGGTCCTCAATAATTTTTAAGAGCATAAAGGGATCCTAAGACCAAAAAATTTGAGAACCATGGCACCAAATAACCCTTTCTGAGCTTTAAAATTCTGTAATAAGCAGTTTTTGTACAAGATCCAATAGAAATCTTTCCTTTAAAAATTAAAATGTTCCTTGTTGGATAACCCTATAGTGCCCACTGGAGGCTTAAAAGTTCCCTATGCAGGGCCAAATTCCAAATCGTTTGTCTCTTCCATCTTACATTTTGATTACACTGGTCTCTTTCAGTTCTTCTTTTCCTGGTTCCCATAACCAAAGCATCTCTAGATACCCCCCAGGATAGCTGCCATCAGTGGATAAAGTGTTTGCTTTCCTCATGAATTGTAGAAGCTTTCTGGGTAAATAGAGACGATTTCGAAAGAATATAGGCTTTTTACATGAACAACATTCATTCCTGGAATCAGAAGACCTGAGCTCCCTTTGCTTGGCCTCAGCTTCCTTACTGTGTAAATGAGGTAGTTGAGGGCCAGCTAGGTGGCGAAGTGGATAGATCACCTGCCCTGCAGTCAGGAGGACCTGAGTTCAAATGTGACCTCAGACACATAATACTTCCTAACTGTGTGACTCTGGGCAGGTCACTTAACCCCAACTGCCTCACTAAAAAACAAAAAACAAAACAAAAAAAAAAAGAGGTTGTTCCCTTCCCTTCACCTCTAAACTATGATCCTATCATAATAACCCTATAGATTACCCAGCTCAGGGAATCAGCATTTTTGAAGCTCAGGAGTATTCAGAGGTAGAAAGTGGGGTCCACTGTGGTAGGCCTTTCTCTTTAAAAAACAAAACTCATTCACTTCCATCCCAAAGCTTCTTTCTTTACTGTGCCCAAGTATCCAGGGGACTACCTTAAGTGCCTGCTTGACAGCTGAAGACAAGGGAATTCTAACTGACCTACCAAGTTCTGTTTCAGGCTCTAAAATGAACAAGGGCAGGTAGGTGAGTGAGCTGTGCTGCCTCTACATGTTCTAGTATTAGTGAAGGCTGGAATGCTTCACATTCCCCTCTTCCCCCTAGTCAAAGTTAGGTACATGAGTATTCTCTCTTCCCTCCATCTTTAGCTCTGATGCAATCAACACTAATTACTGGGGCCTAAGAAAGGGCCTGTCCATTTACTATCCTGGTGCTTCAGTCCACATCCTTGGGACTTCCCAGCTGTTATCTCCCTTCCTGGCCCTCCATTAGCACTGGAATGTAATCAAGGGCAGGGATAAAATTTGGATCTTCAAATATATCCTCAAAGCACAGCGCTTTGCACTTAGTAAATGCTTAATGAATATTTTTTTCATTCAACTCATTCCTCCAGTCCTCAGACATACAGTGAGCTGACTGAAGAACCCTCCCCATCTCACCTTGTTTTTTCTTTTAGAAAAACTCTTGAAATTGGAGGTGAGACAAATACGTAAGGTGGACATCAAATACCAGAATGCAGTATATGGAAAGATCATAAGATTTGGTATCAGAGGGGGTGGCTCTGCCATTTTCTACCTGGATGACCTTGGGCAAGTCACAAACTCCATTGTGTCAAGGCGGCCAATAAGGCTGGATTATGGCACGCGTGGAGGACAGTAAAAGTGTAAGAAGAATGGAAAAGCAGGAAGGGATCGAGTTGTGAAAGGCTTAAGATGCTGGAACGGAGGAGTTTTTATTTAATCCCAGAGGGAGTAGTAACAAGTTACTGAGCAGGAGGATGGCACAGGCCCACCTGAGTTTTAGGAGAGCACTTTGGCAGCTTTGTAGAGGAGGCTGAGAGACTGTGGCAAGGGGACCAGGCAGACAGCTATTACCATAGTCCAGGTAAGAGATAGGGGCGTGAACTAGAGTGGTGGCTGTGAGTAGATTTACTTTGAGTAAATCCTCCTTAAGGATCTGTTCATTCTTTATATATCCCTAGCAACAAGCACAGAGGTGCTTAATAAATGCGTGTTAAATGACTGGTTTACAGATAAGTAAACTGAGGTCTAGGGAAGTAAAATTTACCCAAGATGGTAGTGTCAGAGACCAGATTTCTTCATGCCCTACTCTGGCTAGGCCCTCCCCACACAACCCAACCATCTTGTTGCCCAGCCACTGCCACCGCCACCCCCACCCCCATCCCCATCCCTATCTTCCCCACCCCCATTGATGATTGCTTCTCTCAATTATACCACTACTTCAGGAAGGTCCCAGTCATGGATGTGTATTCTCCACTTTCCCCTCTTCTGTAACCATGAACCCTTATGGCTTCATTCACCATCTCTCTAACTTTGTGAACCAAAATTGCCCTCTCCCTGGCCACCACTCCTCTTTGTCTGTTGTCTTCCCAATTAAAATGTAAGCTTTTGTATTTCTATCTCCAAAGCTGAACACAATTTTTGGCAGATGGTAAAAAGCACTTAATAAATACTTCTTCATCCCCAGATCCTCTGACTCAGGAACCAGGCTGCTTTCTACTTTGCCAAACTCATTCTCTGACCATGGAAGGGTCTTTCAAACCCTCCAGCTGGGGGAGAAGCTGGTTCTTTCTAACTCTGAATTTAAGTACTAAGTTTCTCCCCTCCTCCTTTTCACAACTCTAAAAACAATTTTTTCCCCCTTCCTTCCAAATGAGAGAAGTTACAAGGCTGAAATTAGGTCAACACTTCCAGAAAAGTACTATGGAAAATGTTCTTGCTGTCACTATCATTTGACAGAGGGCCTCAGTACAATGAAGAAATTCAATAAAACTCAATACTTATCCGCTGGGTAGCTCTGTGGCGTCCTCACTAGAATCCTTGGCTCATAGTCTACTAATATGATGATTAAACCAAGGAGCACTTAGATAATTAAGAATCAGTTTCCATCCGCAGCCCGATCCATATAAGAATTTCTACACAGATACTGTGCACTAACTGAGGGTTCCAGGCCCCATTAGACTGTAAGTTCCTTGAGCTTGCCTCTTATTACATCACCAGTGCTTCACACACTGGTTGTTTTTCAGTCATGTCGCTCTTTATGACCTCGTAGCACGCCAATATTGCCCAATGGGTTTTCTTGGCAAAGGTAGTGGAGTGGTTTGCCATTTCCTTCCCCAGGGAATTAAGGCAAACAGAGGTTAAGTGACTTACCCAGGGTCACACAGCAAGCAAGTTTCTGAGCTGGATTTGAACTTGGGTCTTCCTGACTTCAGGACAAGGACTCTATCCACTGAGCCATCCTGTTGCCTCTACCCGGCACACAGTAGGCACTTAGTAAATGTGCTTACTGATTGACTGAGAGGGCCAAAAAGTTATATTTGAAAGGCTGGTGCCTATGAGATCACCACAGTGCCTAGAATATTGATTTTCACAGTTCTGCCTCCATCAACTCCCTTTTCCTAGGAGTGGAGGATTAGATCTATTACTGAAGGTCAGTCAGGTTAGAGAGTAACACTAATGATTTATTTTTCTTTCTTAATCTTTGGACAAATGTTTCAAAGAATGAAAAGTATTGTATCCCAAATCCCCTTATATTTCATGTAACATTTTAAAGTTAGTTTACAAAATGCTTTCCCCTACGTAAGTTCTTTTGATCCTCAGAATCCCAATGATTGAGTAACAGTGGCAAGTATACTCACAGATAAGAAAATGAAGGCACAAAGGTACTGTGATTTGTTTACGGTCAAATTCAATTGAACTACTCCATGCCGAGCTCTGTGCCTGGTGCTAGGAATTCAAGACAAGAAACAAACAAAAAATGAAAGTAGTTTTGGTCTTTAAAGAGTTTACTGGTCAGACTAATAAGTCCGAGACCAGGGCCGTGGAACCCTAATCCTCTGACTCGTAGTCTAGTATGGGCGCTCCCACCTCTGCAGACTCTTTGAGAGGTGCGAGCTACACACACCCATCCAAGAAGACCCAGGGTTCTTTGCACTTTGGAATTAACACGGGACACAGTGGATGATCAATCACATACTGGAACTACAGCATTCCTGGTTACTTCAGTGATTCTGCTAGAGCTATATGAAGTGCTAAAGTTATATATCAAAACTGTTAACCTTAAGCCTCCTCTCACACTAAAGATTACCTCTCATCTTCATCCTTCGGCCTTCATTCCGAATACCTCTTTGAAAAAGAGACACGGTGTACAGAGCATCGGAATCAGGAAAACCTGTATTCACAATGACTGACTGTAACCATAGGCAAGTCCCTTAATCTCTCAGTCACTCAATAAACATCTATCAAGTGCCCACCATGTACCAGGCACCGTGCTAAACTCTCGGAATACATAAAAGAGGCAAAAGATAGTTTATGCCCTCAGGAAACTCACAATCTACTCTCTGATCTTCAGTGTCCTCATTTGTCAAATGAGGACGGGTAATGCCTATAGTCCCTACAATCACATAGCTACAGTGAGGTTTAAGGTAAAGCAACTTAAGGGGCTTGGCAAAAGGTAAAGGGCTGTGTATAAAATGCAAGCCACTATCATCATCAGAAAGTACTAAAGTTCCCCTGCAACTCCAAATTTTGTGTCACATTTGACATTTGCACAAGAGCTAGAAATAAATGTGAAGTAAGAGTATGTGCAACAATGACCAACAAAATGTGGAAACTTTGAGATTAAAGGTAAGAAAAACTGACTTGTCATCACTAGAACAGCTTGCGGCAGACTGTGTACCCACTCCCCCAGTCAGGCTTGCATCACTCAGCATGACATTTCTATAAAGCAAAGCAGGGGAAGACTTATTCTCAGTAAAGAGTTATCTCTGCCAGGGCACTACTTCCACATTACAGAGCATGTTTAAAAAAAAAAAAATCAACACCGAATAAAGCAGGCATTTCCACATACAAAGAACAGAAAAGGAGGATTACATATGAAACTACAGGTCTTTATTATGTTTTTTTAAAAGTCTTTAATAAAATAAAAGTTTTTCTTTTTAAAGTTTATAAGTTTAACCTGTGGTTTTCAAAACTTCCTTTGGGTTTCTTTCTGGTATTCCTACTGGTGTCTTCCAAACATTAACCAAAAAAAAAAAAAAAAAAAGATATCTTGATGACCTCTCTTTTCTTTTTCTACACTATCCCTATGTCTCCTAGCTCCCTAAAAAAACAAAAGAAAAAGAAAAAGAAGAAATGGTTAGGACAACTTTGAGAAGGCCTTCCCAGGAGTGTCAAGAGCAGTGACCTGGAGGTCAGACTTGGGTTTGATTTTTCACCACCACTTGCTATCTATGTTGGGGGGACAAGTCAATTCCCCTCTTCTGTTCATGTCTCCATCAGTTAAAGAGAGATTAGAACTTGTCTGGCATGTTTTATAGTGTTGAGGAAGATAAAAAGTAATCAAGTATCCAATTAAACAAGGATTTAAAACCACCTATCAATGTGCCATATACTGGTGATATACACTCCCACAAAAATGAAATAATAGTTGCCCTCAAGGGGCTAATTTTTTTTAATAATGTAAAAATTCAAAAGGACTTTGTAAACTAGTATCACAAAATCCGTAAGATTACTGACATCATAATACCCTTTACTCATCAGGTACTTAAGTTTATTCAATTCTGTTATTGTTGTTGTTGTTTATCCCTCATTTTCAAAGAGAATCAATGACATCACAGAGTGATATTTTGACTGGCTCAAGAATTGTATTTAAGTGAGGCAGAGTTGCACAAAGTCATCAGTCTCACTCTCTCATCCAGTCATCCAGGATACAGTGGATGATCTTGGAGTCTTTGATGTCTAACCAAACTCTAAGTGCTCCACAGTGCCTGCTTCATGGCCATTGGAACAAATTGTTCTCATCCACCCATTACACTGGGCAAAGTCTTCTCATTCTTGGGGTTGACACCCCCTAACTCACCCACAGGTTTGAGGCCTATCGGTTACCCCATCTGCTGAGTCGGTTTACCGGGGTGTGGCTGCTGCATATGCCACAGCTTCTTGGTACCACAGGTGAGAGGTGAGTGCCAGGTAGACACCAAAGGTAGATGAACAGACCTGAAAAGGGCAAGGCAAGCCCTCAACACCAGAGGTACTGGTCCTCCTTGAACACCCCACATACCCCTAATTCAATCCTATAGTCACACTAAATTACTTCCTCCCCCTCAATCCCACGAATTCTTCTCCCCTGTTCTAGCTTTGCTGATACAGAGGGTAAGAGCTCACCATAAACCTACTCTCTTTTGACATGTGAGAAACTGCTAACAAGACTTTGGGATCATCTTTGGCCACAGATTGAAGTTGTGTGAAAACCCAGGGGCCTCGAAGCCCATGAACCAGTGCCTTCTCAGCACTGTGGTTCTAACCAATTGTAAATGACCCAAACTATCGGAAACATAAGCAACAAGTCTTCTGCTTAGTCTTTTTCAGGAAGTGTCTCTCTATTTCCTTGCATTAGAAACCTAATGTTTGAAACCAGGCCAAGTTATGCTTGTTAGTCCTAGGCAGGGATATTAAATCCTCCTCCTCTGGAAGTTCTCCCAGAGGCAGAAATTAAGTATATTTCCAGACCCCAGGGGAACTAATAGTAGCCTTAGTGGGAAGAGCCTTGAATTTGGGGTCTGGGAACTTGTCCTAACCCCCAGTTCTGCCTAGCTCTGTCACTTTGGGTAGGTCATGTAATTCCTTAGGCTGTTTCCTCACCCATAAAATGAGGCTACTTACACTACCCACTTCACAGGGTTGTTGAAAGGGAAAGTATTTTGTAAGCTGTTAAAAAAAAAATCTCTACGGAAATGCGTTACTTTTCTTTACAGAAATCTCATAGCCAATAATAAAAGGCCAGTGAAAACGAATGCTGGACTTGAAATCAAGGGAGACATGGATTTGAATTCTGCCTCTTACAGTAACTAATTGGCTTAATGGAGCCTCTGTTCCCTGTCTGCAAAATGTGAATAAAACGGGTAGTATTTAATTGCACAGGATTGTTGTGAGGATTTAACAGTGGTTTGCAAACCTTTAAAGCATTATGTAAATGTTAGGTATAACTGTAACAATTCTGATGTCTTAAGTTTGTATCTAAACCTTTGAGAGAAACCTTTTTCTCTTCTCAAATATTTGATGACTAATGTCAGAGCTCATGAAGATCTTACCTCTTGTCAGAATTCTTTCTATGTTATTCTAAAATTAAAATTTTGCTTTATTATTAAACACTGACAAACATTAACTTTTCAATAATCAAGAAACATGAACATTTCAATATAACAAAGAACAGAAAATGAAAAAACCATGACCATCTGTGAGTTTTATGGTTCTATTTTCTGTATTTTCATAGAGAAGCTTATATTCTACTATCAGGAACATTTATATCCATCCCAATGATTACATGTACTTGTTTCATTTAGAGCAGAGGAGTTCTTAATCTGGGGTCCACGAATTTAAAAAATATATTTTTATAACTATATTTCAATATAATTGCCTTCCTGTATAATGCTATGCTTTTTGTTTTATGAATTAAAAATCCTTATTCTGAGATGGGTCTCAGTCCACAGGCTTCACCCGACTGCCAAAGGGGCCCCCAACACCAAAAACCCCTGAACTAAAAGGGTAAATAAGTGCCACTACAGGCCGAGGTCTCTGCTGCTTCTTTTCGGCCTCTGGAGCCCTTAGTATTATATCCACAGGGAGTTAAAAGGTTTGCTAATATGAACCTCCCTCAATATTCCCATTTAACAGACATGGAAAATAAGGCATGGAGAGACTAGGAGATGCGTCAGAGGTCAAGCTCATAGAATCTACCACGTCACATCAGATCCCAGGGATCATGACTTACAGCATAAGAAATAAAGGAGTTCCGGGAGCCCTAGCAGGTGAACAGAGGCATTATTGTTATCTTAATAATAAGAGATTACATCTATATGGCATCTACTATGTGTCAGGCACTGTGCTAAGCGCTCTACAACTATTATCTCATTTGATCTTCACAAAAACCCTGGGAAGTAGGTGCTATTATGATCCCCATTTTACAGACGAGGAAACTGAGGCAAACAGAAGTTAAGCGGCTTGCCCAGGCTCACACAGCTTGGAAGTATCTGAGGCTGGATTTGAACTCTGGTCTTCCTGACTCCAGGCCTATGTGCTATCCAATGTGCCCAGCTGTAGGAAATAACACACGCAGCAATGCAGCTACTGTAGAAACAGAGATGTCTGTAGACCAGGCCTTCTGGAAAGAAGGGGTAGGAAGAGTTGCTGGACCAAGGAGAAGGCAAGGCAGAGGAACAGCAAGGGATAGAAACACAATATGGAGAAACAAACCTGGATTCGCCCTTTACTACACTGTGAGTTTTATAGATATGTAAGTCAAGGAGAAAAGGGGCCCATTCTTTACCCAGGGCTTTTCCCTCCCTGGGAGTTTACACTCTACTTAAGCCTAGAGAATCTAAGGTTCCTAGAGAGTTGGGCTGAAGAGATGGTTTTACTCTCTTTAACAGGCCCAAGTGCTTTCTTTTTGGGGGGTGGGGCTCAACCCCAAGGTAAGTGGAAGCAGATTGGAGAGAGGAGACTCATTCTGACTGTGCAGGAATATTGTTGTGAGATTGTTGTGCTTAATGTTCTGTTCTTACATAAAGTCATCTTTATTCAGTGTATTGTTAACTTGAGTGCTTGCAAGGGAACTTATGGACGCTTTTTGTTGGAGACATACATCTTGGCCAAATTCCAATTTTCTCAAGAGAAATCCTAGTTGGGGAGCCCAAGTTGAAGAATGATTATTAAGAGGCCTCCAAGAC